AGATAGATAGATAGATAGATCGATAGATAGATAGATAGATAGATAGATAGATAGATAGATAGATAGATAGATAGATAGATAGATAGATAGATAGATAGATAGATAGATAGATAGATAGATAGATAGATAGATAGATAGATAGATAGATAGATAGATAGATAGATAGATAGATAGATAGATAGATAGATAGAGTGCTGCTGATCTCAAATAATATAAAATGAATGTAAGTTTAGTTGTAAAACAGGTTTAAAGTTGTTTAAAAAGTAAAAACTGAGTCAGAAAAAGGAAACTTCAAGAGTTAAATGAGTTCAGTGACACATCAAAATGTCTGTACCTCAGTTCAGTTAATGTGTGAAACTGCTCTTGCATGTTGGTTAACACTGAACTTTAAACATAAAAACTAAATTTTACATTACAACGATGAACACTAGTTTTGGACTAAGATCATCTTTCTTGAGAAATAAAGAAAACGGAGCCATTTTGGTCAAGTCTTGAAAATAACTAATAAATTGCATATAACATCTGAAAATGTCACATGCAATTTATGTCAAATTATACGGGGAGTGGTGGTGCAGAGGCTAGAGAAGGTGGGCCTGCAGCTGGAAGGTTGCCAGTTTGAACCCCAGGACAGACAACATCAAAATGTGGATGGAAAAAGTGCAACACCCACACCTGTCTCCACCCTTATTTGCTCCACTCTGGGCCCTTGAGCAAGGCCCTTAACCCCCACCATCTGCTCCCGAGCAGGTTTCTCTTGAAAATGAGTTCTCTAATAAATATATAAAATTTGTTGTCAAGGACTCTCAGTTACTACCACATCAATTTTTAGCTCTATTTCTGCAAAACAGCCTGGATTAAATACATATTTGTGTTTACTACATTCATTTAGCTGCAGCAACTATCTTGAATAGGGTTGACTTTAAAAGTTAATCACGTATGGAGGTACATGTACTGAACAGTTATTTAAAGTTTCATTAAAATCCATGCAGTGGTTCATGAGATATTTTGCTAACAGACAGATATAGTTGACTTCAAATAATTAATAGTAATATTGTAATACAGATCATGCAATATATGTCAGTGCTCAGAATATATGTTGGGGATCGGGCTCAACTACTACCACGCCACACTTCAAGTTGATATCTGTTAAATTGTTTGAGTTACAGTATATCAATTTTTGAGTTGATTTTGGAAATAAACAAATGAGCAAATGCATTCGTACACAAACAGGGGGGAAACATGATCAGCTGCTTTTGCCTTTTGGCAGCAGGCGATTTTAAAGTACTAATGAGCTCGTCTTTGCCTCCCCTGGTTGTAGGTTTACTGGCTGGGTCCCATTCTGGGAGGCGTCCTGGCTGCAGCGCTGTATGAATACCTGTACTGTCCTGACCCTGAGATCAAGAAGAGGCTGAAGCAAGTCTTTAAGAGAGACTCCTCCGGGGGATACAAAGAGGTGGAACCCGAGGAGCCTGTCATCAAACAGGGCTTCATTCATCACATCGATCTGGAGAAAGCGGAGACAAAAGATCCTTTCCAGGAGTCGTCAGGGGAAGTGCTGTCCTCTGTATGACTATCACGCGCTCTGAAGATGGAGACCAATTTGTAAAAAAGAATGGCAATCAAAGTCTGAAGGATCCATCTTGAGCTTGTCCCCTCCAAACCAGAATATGATTTCTATCAACAGCTCTATTACTGTCACTGAAGCAATTTTGGCATTATACAGCTAAATCCCACAAACATCTGCAGCTTGTTCAGTACTCGTCCCGGAGACCCCTCTTGATTCCATGGTTGTGTTTTCATGCTGCACATGTTTCACACTGCAAAATGACAGCCAGCAATACATCGTGTTGAGCTAATATGTGTATGGGAGGCGGTCGACCACTAATGTGGGGTCATCCTGCTGTATTGGAGAAGTAAAGAAGAAAAGGGAGCTTTGTTATTTTTGGATTAGTGTCACTTTGGGTTTTTGTAATTGAAGGGGAGACATTATAGATCCGGAGCTACATAAAGAAGTGCTGACAAACTGCATTAAATGACATATTTCACAGAATTCTCCAGTTTCAGTGCAACGATCAGGACAACTTGTTTTCTTTAATAATTCATCCCCTCTCTGCTGTTCATTGCAAATATTTCTCCTCAAATAAACTAGTCAAACTATTTTTCTTCATTGTTTTTATAGTAGATATTTCTTTGTCACACATGGAAGAAGCAGGTAAAGATAATAGATGGATGGATGTACACAAACGGGAAGTCTGAGATGATTTAAATCAAATTAATAGTTGGTATAATTGTTTTTTTTATGTTGTCATGTATCTTTCATTTTGGCATGTCTTCATTATTAAACAAGCTAGCTGCAGAAGTCAGCACAGCACTCACATATTTATAGGAAAACAACTGCCCGCATGAATTTTTATTTGTTTTACCTGCAGTAGGAACTGGAGAACGAAGATTTAGACCGGTGATCAAATGGATTATCTATCTCTCAATTACTCCTCTGTGTTGCCAGATAAAAATCCATTTTCTGTACAGCCCTGCTGAGAATAGCTCCATGTAATCTCAGTCCATCAAAGGAGGGCAAATGGAAACAATATCATCTTGAGACGTTATATTTACTTTATATCTTTTTGTTAAAAGCTTTTGAGCCTCAGGGTCCTGCTGCAAGGTGTCTGCACAGTCCAACTGCACCATGTTTTGTTACTCCAGACTATAATTATAAGCCCAGCATCCAAAAAATAAAATCCAACCTCTGGTGTGTGAGATGATTAGCTAACAAACAAACTGAGTTTATGCCAACAGTTATTGCCTAAGTTTAAAGTAAAAATGTTCTGTAATGTGTATTGCTTGTATTTTGTTGCAGAGTAATCTCAGCTACCACACCAAACAGCTAAATATCTGACTGACTGAGTTATAGCTTTGTTGGGTTTTCTAAAATCAGTTGATTGTGGTATCCATCTTGGATTAAATTATTAATCAGTTGTAAATGTACATCCAGTGATAATTTATTGAAAGTTTCATTAAAATCCATCCAGTGATTCAGGAGATATTTGGCTAACAGACAGTTGACTCTAAAAGATATGGGTCAAAGTTTGAAAACAAATTCTTTCACAATCAGTGAATAAGTTGGGGATTGATCTCAGCCACTATTTCCTCTGATATCTGAACTAAACTGACTGAGTTATAACCATTTTTGTGTTGGCTAAAACTGGTTAGCTGTGGCAGCCATCTTGAATTAAATTGACCCCAAAAGTTATTCAGGTGTAGATGAACATTCAGTGATCCATGAGTCAAAACATGCATACAAACAAGATATGTAATCTTAATGGGATTTACTTTATTTTTGCTTATATGACATGTAAAAAAATAATAAAAGAGACAGGAGAAATTGCATTTCCTGTGAAAATGCAGTGTGAATGTTTGTTGCAAAGAATTTGCTGAAAAACAGCTGAAATTGGCTACAAACATTCTGAAATGTAGCTGAAATTGAAGAACAAGCCTAAATTAGCAGAAGAAAGCAGAAAGAATACATGTTTGCTGAAGAATTTAAACGCAGCCTCACATAACAATCCACTGTCTGCTGGGATGTTTCCATATTTTAATGTATTGTGTATTTTAGAATGGTTTTAACTGCATGTTTTTAATTGATTTAGCCTTGGTTTTAAAGTTTTTAAAGTTTTTGAATCACATTTTATTTGGTTTTTATAAGCCAGATGTCAAAGACAAATCTCCATTTCATTGAGTGTTATGGACAATAAAGTTGAATTGACTGATTGATTGAATCTGTTGGACTCCTGACCAATGCAGACATGGTCCTGTTTTTAGTTTTCTACATTCGCCTTAGAATCTAGCTGTTTTTTGTTACTTTTCTGTTTTTAGCCATCCTATTCGTTAAAAAAAATTTTTTTTTTTAAATAAAATCTGTATGCTTTTTTTATAACTGTTTATTGTTGTTGCTGTTGTCCATTGTTGTCATCATTCTTTGTTGAAATCAAGGTCTCTCTTGTAAATGAGTCCTCGAGGCTCATTGGGATTTATCTGTCTAAATAAAGGTTGAATTAGGTTTAAATAAGCAGAAATGAGCACAAAAATTAGGAAGATTGCTAAAAAAAAAAAAAAAAAAAAGTTAAATTAGTTAAAAGCTGAAAAGTATAAAGACGCTTAAACTACCAGAAGATAGTGGAAGGAGCTGAAGTGAGCTCAAATAATGTGGAATTAGGTGAAAAAGGTAAATTTAGCACAAAAACAGGTAAATAGTGACATAGCAAAAAAAATTAAACTAGCAGAAAAAAAGCTGAAAGGAGCATAACAAGCTGAAAATAACAAAAAATAAGTTAATTAGGCTGAAAGCAGGAATTACCATGAAAAACTTGAGCGGATCTGAAAACAGCCAAAATTAGCGTAGAATGCTAAAAAGGTAGTTGAAAAGGTAGAACAAGGTTAAATTAGCAGAAGAAAGCAGGTTTATTGAACAGGTTTGATGAAACAATCAGAAATGAGCACAAAAAAGTGGAAATTATCTTGGAAAAGCTGAAATTAGCAACAACAACAAAAAACTGTTAAAGTAGCCAGGAAGAAGCTGAAATTACACGCCGGAAGTGGACAGTGCACATGTTTGCTGAATTAGGCTGAAAAAAGTTGACATGCGTGCAAAAAAATGTGGAATTAGATGAAAAAGCTAAAATTAGCATAAAAACAGCTACATAGTTAGTAGCTGAAATAGCAGAAAAAACTGAAACTTGCATAAATAAGCTGAAAGGAGCACAAAACAGCTGAAATTAGCTGAAAAGTTTAAATACTTACAAGGAAGCTGAAAGTAGCTGAAGCAGAACAAAATGTGAAAGGACAGATTTGAAGGATGTAAAATGAGCTCAATTCATTTTCTATGAGGAAAAAATGGCAGAAAAGGGTAAATATTTTTAAAAAGCTAAAGTTGCACCAATACCAAAAGTCATAGCAGGATTGTCCTGAAAGAGCTGAACATTTTGATATGATTTGTTGAAATAGCACAAAAATTGTGGAACAAGAAAGATGCAGAAAAATGTACAGAAGAAAAATGCATCACAACAGTGTGAATGCTTCATAAGTGTTCACACAATAACGTGGAAAAAACAAACAAATAAACACATGCAGGCAACAACATTATCGCCCTTTCATCTTTGGCAGCTACTTTGTCACCCGGATCACCTCCCATGAGAAACCACTTCCTTGCTCGTGATTGCAGCCTCCCCGACTGGTCACAGAGTGAAGTGCACCCACCCTGTGGACTGGTCTGTGTCCAGACGAGGGCAGCCACGAGCCTGGGATGAGCAGGATGAGCCTCAAACAGAGCAGGCACGTGTCACTTTTATTCATTAGTCTGAGCTGCATTCTGTTTGATATTTGTCCAGACCATTAATTCAGGACTGCACGGGAGGATTAAATGTTGCATCTCGCCCCAGAAGACCCAGCAGTCACACAAGTTATTAAATAAAAACTTTTTTCTCTTGTATTTTGGTCAGCCTTCATGTTAATGACACAAGAGTTGTCCATAAAAACAGCTGATATTTCCAACACAGAACTATGTCCTCGGTACTTTTCTGTACTTGAGATTAATGCATGTGTCATCATGCCTTACCTGCATGTCTGCAGCTTGAATTTTGATGATGGGGGGTAAAATCCAAAGCATTTGTTGTTGGTATTTTAATCAAAACGGTCCAGATATTTTATTAATTTTCACACTTTTATATATTGAAGTTTGCATCAGACCTTCTATAGGCTTGTTGCGATTATGAAAATCAAATCAAAAATGACAAAATACAGATTTTAAGCTGTCTGATAATCCTGAATCAGCAAAATGTTTGACACAAAACTGATCATTTTTCTCTATTCCTCATTTATGTAGCCTCCCTGTCATCCACATTGATCAATAAAACAAACAATAGCTACAGTATGATGGCGTTTTCTGATTTGTGATTATCTAATTGAGAGAAAGTAGATTTCACGTGAGCTGAAACCTCAGATTCTTCATTTTTAGCTCGCAACTAAAAGGCAAAAAATAAATAAACACACCTTAAAAGATCATTAGCAATTAATATTTGGGGATTCGTGGAGAAAAACAGCGTTAAACACTTGCTTAATAATTCATACTATAAACAAGAAAGTCTCCCACTTCCTTAATAATTTAGACGTAAGCTAATGTTGATTTATTCAGGAAGGTCTCCGCCACCAGCACCGCCTGGAGGGCCCAAATTTGAATTAAAGTAGGACAGTAGCAGGCGAGTCTGTAATAACATTTGTATAATTTTATTATTGCTCTGGGCTCAGTTCATTTCCTCCTCCAGTAGCTGCGTGAAATTGTTTGATTCTTGAAAGTGCCTTGAGTCTGCAGCTCTGGGGTTGGAGGGTGGTACAGGAACAGGAAGGCATGCGACACTCTCCCATCTGATGCTGTCAAACACATAAACACACACACACACGCGTGCAAAAAGAGAGAAAATGAGAGCAAGAGAGGAGGAGATAAATAACTTTGTTATTCTGGGTTTTGTAATACTGTTACATTGGCTCACTTAATAACTCAAGCTGTCTCGAGAAAAAGATTGATCCTCTCACTTTGTCATTTATGATAAATATTCTGCTGCATTCACGGAGATAGAGGAATAACTCCTTCATTATGACTGCACCCTGTAAAAAGAGGAGGATTTTAAATTCCATCAATTCCCAGAACAAGATTGTTTCTTTTCGGGGTTTTTTTCTTTCTTTGGTTAAATTTTGGTCACAATCTCTCCAGAAATGTTCCCATCAGTTTGTAAAGAAGCTGCTCTGGTGATTTTCTAACACTTTTCTGACTTTATAAACCAGCAGTGGACAATTTTTTTTTTTTTCCCAGAGGGCTATATCAAGATATTGAAAACAAACGGCCTCATAGAGAGTTAGAAAATTAATTTTCTTTTAAACAAAGACCTTTTTTTCAGGCTTTTTCTTGTTGTACCATAGTTAGCATGCTTGGTAAAAATGTCTCCCCACTAAACTTATTAGTTAATGTAAACTTTAACTTACGAAAATATCTTTGTTAGCCTAAATATGCTAAACAATTGTTTTAA